CGTTGTGTGTCCTCGGTTTGTGCCGATGCCACTTGGCCAGGACGCTCTCGCAAAACAGAAATGTAATCTCAAGGCGTTTAAATCTGGTTAAATAAAGGTTTGAATGAAAAACCTTGCCCACTTGCCTATATAAACGTGGTGTCGGTGAGTGTTGGTGGTGGTTGGAGGGGCTGATGGCGCAGATTTGCAGCCACGCTTCTGTCTGTTCCAGGGCAGCCGTGGGTAAAGTAGTAGTTTACCACCAGGAGCATGGAGGGAATGAATAAAGCAATGTGTGTGTGTCTTGAAAGGCATTTAAATTCAGTACACTGGAAGGAAGGAACAACTTTTTCCACTTTCACAAAAAGACCTCCATCGCTATAGCAAAGGAGAAATTCAGTTTGTCAATTGGACTAAAGTTGTTTTTATACGTTTGGCAGCACATCCCAGCTGCTTCTCCAGTTCGAGTCAGATTGCTGGTGCGTCTGAAGGGAGGAGCTAACTACACTGAAACTACTCTGAAACTAGCACACCTATTTGTTTACAGTTTCTGTTTGTTAGCTCAGTCTATTGAACTGCACTACGTGGGGAGTTATATTATTACTATAACTAGTAGGTGTGTTAGTTTCAGAGTAGTTTCAGTGTAGTTAGCTCCTCCCTTCCCAGTGTCCACCAGCAATCTGATCAGAACTGAAAAAGCAGCTTAGATGAGCTGCGGTACGTTTACAACCTAAAAACTTATGTCCAGTTGACAAATAGAATTTCTCCTTTGCCATGGATTCTACCTAGACAGGCTGGCACCACCTAGTTCCTCTGCTCAATTAAATTTCTCTCCAGCGACTAGGTTAGGAATTGGAACACAAACTCAAGCGCCTGTCTGGGTCCCTTTTGTGGTACAGCACAACAGTAAACAAAGTGGTCAAGATGGATGTAGACGAAGATAGCGATTCCCGAAATCAAGGATTTAAAGCCGGAACAAAGAGAATGTTTGGTGAATTTTATCAAGGGGAAAGACGTTATTGCCCTTGTTCCTACGGGATTCGGGAAAAGCTTAATATACCAGTTAGCCCTGTTAGCGGTGCATTTCGTACGTCACGACCAAATAGCAGCGATTGGTTAAATAAAAAAAATACCCGCCTACCGTCGAGCGAACAAATCCTAATGCTGCGAGGTTAGACCACCAAGGTGAAACCGGCTGATGAATCGGACTAGATTCTACCTGGACGACTGAGGGATTTTACATACCTCCATGACTATAGGCTATAAGCATGTTTTAAGTCTCTAAAGGTTGTCCATTGTTGAAGTTGAAGAGGTGTCCATTGTGAGAAAATAGACTATATTTTAGAATTATGATAGTTAATACACTACACTACCAGTCAAAAGGACACACTTGCTTTTTCAATGTATTGTTTATATAGTTTCTAAACACAAATATATGTATGAATGTGGTGTGTGCGTGTGTGAGTGGTGGCAGTCAGAGAAGCTATAGACACACAAAAAAAAAAAAAGAAAGGAAAAAGTTAAATAACAACTAAATGTTTTTATATATTTTGAATTCAGATCCTCAAAGTATCCACCCTTTGCTTTGTTGACAGCTCGGCAAACCCTTGACCTTCTCTCAGTCAGCTTCTTACTTCACAAATGCACATGAAATGGTTTTCACTTCACAGCTGTGACATGTCAGGGTCAAGAAATGCCAAAAGTGCAAAGCAGGGTTCAAAGCAAAGGGAGGCTGTTTTTAAAATCTCAAATCTTAAACAAGTTGAGTTATTTTAAGTTTATATTTTGTTACTACATCCCATACGTTCATTCATAGTTTAAATGCCTTAAGTTAACATCTACAAAGTAAATAATCAAGCAAATAAAGAAGAAACATACTACTAAATTAAGTGTCTCGAGACTTTTAATTTCTGGTGTACATAAAAACGAACGTATTCTCTTTGTAATTGCTCCTCTTCAGTATCTCCTCCATCTCTCTCTTAACCTCGCTAAAACATTTCCCATTTCAGGACTTAAAGTGAGACTCTAAATTAAATTTACACAGAAAGAAATGGACAGTTATGAATATATGAATAGTGAATATAAATTGAAGGTTAAACTGTCTTTTCATTTATTTAGCAAGGAATTATGGTTCCATGAGACGGCTCCGCATTCAGATCTTTACTTTTTCAGTGTGGTGGGAGAGCTGCCAGGCTAATACTGACTTATAACTATTATTACAGACGATGTAAAATATATGGGTTAAGAGCGAGGAGTAAGAAAATGGCAGATACCTGTAATCATATTTAACTGATTTAGAAATGTTTTGCAAAGTTTGATCGTTGTACTACGCAGAGGTGAGTGACTTCTTGAGTAAATCATAGTTTCTGATACTGATAATTTAACTTTTCATGGAGTAATATGTTTTTTTAAGTGAAGTAAAGTGTACTTCAATTAAAAAAACATCTTACTTCAAGGTCCTGTATTACATAAAATGGATTCTTGTTAGCTTTAAATCAAAAATATACCCAGAGTTGTGTTTTGTTTCATTCACATGTTTGAGTAATCCTGCATTATTAGTCTGTCTACATTTCCAAAGCTTAAAATGCTCTGTTCCACCTTGTGATGTCATGAATTGGTAGTTTTCAAGTCAACAGTAACATTTTACCTTGAGTTCAGTAGAGATTGTCAATTCCAGGGCTGAAATTATCCAAGTGATTTTAGTGAAGTTGTATGGAGTTGAAAAGCACAGTGAAGCACTTCCTGTCTTACCACATGACATCACAAGGTGGAACAGAGTGTTTTCAGTTTGAGAGAAAAAACAAACAAAACACAACTCCAGGAGGATACAACATTATAACATAGATGAGCGGTTTTTCAATAGGTGAGGCACTGGGGTGGCACGATTGATATCAGTAATTGTACGTGCGTGCATTCTGACAACCTACTCATAGTTTGGAGCGTCACCTTTCTTGCCTTGTGTACGCCGTTTGGACCACCACGTCATCTCGCATACGTTGCCTGGACTGTGTCTTCTCATGTATGCTGCGTGGGCTGGGTCTAAACCAGGACTAAATCAGGACTAAACCAAAACTAAAACAAAACTAAAATCAGGACTAAAACCAGGACTAAACCAAAACTAAAATCAGGACTAAAACCAGGACTAAACCAAAACTAAAATCAGGACTAAACCAAAACTAAAATCAGGACTAAAACCAGGACTAAACCAGAACTAAAATCAGGACTAAACCAGGACTAAACCAGGACTAAACCAGAACTAAAACCAGGACTAAACCAGGACTAAAACCAGGTCTAAACCAGCAATAAACCCTGAATAAACCAGGACTAAAATCAGGACTAAACCAGGACTAAAATCAGGACTAAACCAGAACTAAAATCAGGACTAAACCAGAACTAAAATCAGGACTAAACCAGGACTAAACCAGGTCTAAACCAGGTATAAACCAAGTCTAAACCAGGTCTAAACCAGGGCTAAAATCAGGGCTAAACCAGGTCTAAACCAAAACTAAAACCAGGACTAAAGCAGGGCTAAAAACCAGGTCTAAACCAGGTCTAAACCAGGAACTAAAACCAGGACTTATAAATCATATCTAAACATTTAACCCATGTATTTTATTTACACATTTTTATTGGGGGGGGATTAAAAATCTCATGAAATATTTGCATTTCTTCTTTGCGCGGGTTTGCCTCTCCACAGATCTGACTTGTAACATGCCCTGGTAGCGTCACCTGTTAGCACAAGCATAGTTTTGGCCACTTCCACTTCCCTTTGTCATCGAACTTGAGTGTATTTTGTGATATGAAGCTAGCCGGTTGTTCCCATGCAGGCTAGCTATTATTCACGCCGGGATGGCTAATCTGTAATGGCTGCTGTCACCGTGCCGACGTGGCTCTCGCGGTGACGGTTTCCGCGGTGACAAATGGACCCGGTTTCACTTTCAGCACGACAACAGCGCACTATAGAGTTTAAAACGCAGCACAAATGGGAGGACTCAAGCCTATATTCACTTCAACGCACAAAAAATCATCCGTTCTTCCAATATACTGTGAAATGTTCGGACTCCTGACAAACCGCCCAGGTGACGGAAACGAGTGAAGTGAAGTGAACTGGGCCCAGATGACCACGCCGAATACCAAAGTCACTGTCGCATAGGGTAAAAGCGAGAGTTTCTCATGGGCCAACGGTCACACGCGGCAAAAAAATAAATAAAATCTATCATTCGTTACATTGGCTTCAACTCAGAATATTAATCTGGATTGAGTCGTTTTGAATTGGCAAGTAAACGTTGTTGTTTAGTTGTAGGGAGTATTATCTGTTACATAAAAATGGGTTGTACAGTTGTAGGGAGTATTATCTGTTACTTAAGGCTGAGTTATTATTCAGTTGTAGGGAGTATTATCTGTTACATAAAGGTGAGTTGTTCAGTAGTAGGGAGTATTACCTGTTACATAGGTTGAGTTGTTTCAGTTGTAGGGAGATTATCTGTTACTAAGGCTGAGTTGTTGTTCAGTTGTAGGGAGTATTATCTGTTACATAAAGGTGAGTTGTTCAGTAGTAGAGAGTATTACCTGTTATATTAGGTTGAGTTGTTGTTCAGTTGTAGGGAGTATTATCTGTTACATAAAGGTGAGTTGTTCAGTAGTAGAGAGTATTATCTGTTACACAAGGGTGACTTGTTGTACAGTTGTAGGGAGTATTATCTGTTACTTAAGGTGAGTTATTGTTCAGTTGTAGGGAGTATTATCTGTTATATTAGGTTGAGTTGTTGTTCAGTTGTAGGGAGTATTATCTGTTACATAAAGGTGAGTTGTTCAGTTGTAGGGAGTATTATCTGTTACTTAAGGCTGAGTTGTTGTTCATTTGTAGGGAGTATTATCTGTTACTTAAGGCTGAGTTGTTGTTCAGTTGTAGGGAGTATTATCTGTTACATAAAGATAACATGTCTTTTTTGAAGTGCAGTCTTTCTCCACATATATTACATGTCCCTCTCTGCTCTCTCTTCCTCCTGCCCCCCCTGCAGAGCACAGTGGTGGTGGAGAAGTCCATCCAGGACCTGATGAGCCTCATGCAGGACTTGAGCGCCTACTCCAACCAGTTCCTGGAGATGATCTGTGACAAGCTCAAAGATTACAAGGAGATCTGCAACACTGCATACAGGTAAAGACCGCACATCTTTGTTTACTGTAATGTTTTGGGATTTATTTTAGCTTCACTTCTACTTGTATGCAAAACTGGACTTTGTTTGGTAGAATAATGGCTGCCAGTTTGCACCTTCAGTTTGACAGTCACCTATTCCTCACTCCCTCCAATTATAAATAAGTCAGAGAAGTGTTTGGGACATGGCAACAATATGCACGGGATGGAGGTGGAGTCAAACAGCCGACCTTTGGGTAGTAGATGATTAAAAGCTACAACCCACACCCTTTCCTCCAGCTAAAATGTTTTGTTTAGTCAAAAGGTAGACTCCTGTGTGTTTTCCTGTGTGGAGTTGGCTTGTTCTGGCCATGTCAATGAAGGTTTCTTCGCGATATGACCCTAAAACACAGGCCAGGCTGGCTCCACCTAGTGCCACCGGTCAATTTCATTTCTCTCCAGCAACTAGGTCAGGAATCAGAATACACTAGATGATTTGCCAGAACCCCGAAGGTTGTAGACTGCGCACTGGCCAATCAGCAAAGAGTTGTGAAGCCATGTCTGGGTCCCTTTTGTGGATTTGTGGTACAGCACAAGAGTAAACAAAGCGGTCGAGATGGATGTAGACGAAGACAGACATTCTGTGTTGGCAACAATTCCAGAGATCGAGGATTTAAAGCCGGAACAAAGAGAATGTTTGGTGAATTTAATCAAGGGAAAAGACGTTATTGCCCTTCTTCCTACAGGATTTGGGAAAGGCTTAATATACCAGTTAGCCCCGACCAAATAGCAGCGATTGGTTAAATTAAAAAAAGTACCCGTCTACCATCAAGCGGACGAATCCTAATGCTGCAAGGTCAGACGGTTTCCACAAAGTGAAACCAGCTGATGAATCAGACTACTAAAACATGGCCAGACAAAAAAAAAAAAAAAAAAAAACGTCCAAAAGTTATTCCTCATTTACCAAACGCATTCGAATACTATCCTGACTATTCACCACAGTGAGTTTACAAGTGCTTTCACAACTTTCAGAGGCCACAGCAGAGTTTTGCCATCACAGTTAACAACAACTACCATGCTAACGTGCACTTCCTGATTCTCAGACACATAAAAACACTTCATAATTAAATACCGACAATACACAGCGGACTTATTTTGACCTCAAGATCTGTACTTACTCAAAGACATGGCGAAAGTTTGGTACACGTTCTTTAATCCATATAAAATTATCACAGTTGTCCGGTGTAATATCAGTTTAAACACCCCAAAATATGTAGGCATTAATAAATAAATAAAAAATAAATGTGTTAAAACGTGCTCTTAACTCATTTTGACTGTTCAGCCCTCGGGGGAGCCTCATTTCCCCTGTACAAGGTGCAAATACGAAATTAATCGCAGAACCCAGCAGTTTTCCCATCTCAGACACATGCAAACAACGCAACTACACCGCGGCAAGTCTGTAGCAATTTGTCCCAACGGTGAATCAGATCTGCGTCTCTAAATGTCAACACACACACACACAAACGCGCACGAACATACACACACACGTCTACTGGACCAGAGACGGTGAACAAATACAAAAATAAATATAAAAATACATAGCCCTGTTTCATTAGCGTCGAGATGTTGTCATTAAAACTCGTGTGCATCTTGGGTCTTGATCTCATTATTGGTGGGCGCTGGTGCAGTGCCTATGACAAGACAGTGTCTTCGTAATTAACCCGGCAACAATGTTCTAGTTTGGTTGTGTGAGATGTAGGGCCATATAATGAGTCAAAATGTAAAAGTAATTGAAAAAGTTATTTAGTTCAGTAAGCAAAGTGTAAACATTGTAATTATTTAGTTTTGGGTCATGTGTAAAAAAATATATATATCCTGCTCCTGGTGAAAAAGAGATGCCAAATATCAGTTGAACTTTTCTGGTCATTAAAAACATTCCTGAAAGTTGTGTTTAGTCTAACCTGATTCATGAGTCGGTGTCACTTTGTGGACCTCGCAGCATTAGGATTCGTTCGCTCGATGTTAGGTGGGTACTTTTTTATTTAACCAATCGCTGCTATTTGGTCGTGACGTAAGTAAGGCGCCAAATCCCATAGGAAGAAGGGCAATAACGTCTTTCCCCTTGATAAAATTCACAATTTCACATTCAAACATTTTCTTAAATCCTCGATCACGGGAATTGTTGCCAACACAGAATGTATGTCTTCGTCTACATCCATCTCGCCCGTTTTGTTTATTGTTGTGCTGTACCACAAAAGGGACACACACAGACGCTTGAGTTTGATGTCATGGCTTCACAGCTCTTTGCTGATTGGCCAGTGCGAGGTCTACCACTTCTGGGGTTCTTGCAAACCGTCTAGTACCGGGATCCCTAACCCCCGGGTCGGAGACTGGGCCGTGGGTCATTTGGTACCGGGCCGCAAAAGTGCGAACCCACCCTCCCATATGCCGTGCGGACCTCCTACCCATACATCGCGTGGCCTGTGCCCCTAAACCAGAAGTGAACCAGAACTAAAACCAGAACTAAAACCAGAACTAAACCCAGGATTTAACCAGGACTAAACCAGGTCTAAACCAGGACTAAAACCAGGATTAAAACCAGGATTTAACAAGGTCTAAACCAGGTCTTAACCAGGACTAAAACCAGAACTAAACTAGGTCTAAACCAGGTCTAAACCAGAACTAAAACCAGGTCTAAACCAGGACTAAACCAGAACTAAAACCAGGTCTAAACCAGGACTAAACCAGGTATAAACCAGAACTAAAACCAGGACAAAAAACAGGACTAAACCAGGTTTAAAACAGGTATAAACCAGGTCTAAACCAGAACTAAAACCAGGACAAAAAGCAGGACTAAACCAGGTCTAAACCAGAACTAAAACCAGGTCTAAACCAGGACTAAACCAGGTTTAAACCAGGTCTAAACCAGAACTAAAACCAGGTCTAAACCAGGACTAAACCAGGTTTAAACCAGGACTAAACCAGGTTTAAACCAGGACAAAAAGCAGGACTAAACCAGGTCTAAACCAGGTCTAAACCAGAACTAAAACCAGGTCTAAACCAGGACTAAACCAGGTCTAAACTAGGTCTAAACCAGAACTAAAACCAGGTCTAAACCAGGTCTAAGCCAGGTCTAAATCAGATTTAAAACAGATCGAAAACAGGATTTAGCCAGGACTTAACCATGCCGTGTGCCATGCCTCCTCCCATGCTCCTCCATACTGTTGGAGCCTAGCTACTGAGTAATACGTTATTATTAGTCTGTCTACATCCATAAAGCTCTGTAAATGCTCTGTTCCACCTTGTGATGTCATGTAGTGGTAGTTAATCTGTTGTTTGTTGTCCGCAGAGGGATTGTGCAGTGTGAAGAGAAGCTCACCATCAGCGCCTCGTGGTCCAAAGATGAGGACATCAGTCGCCTGCTCCAGTCTCTGCCAAACTGGGCCAATATGGCACAGCCCCGACAGACCCGTCAGAAGAGGGAGGACGAGGAGGACTACACACGGTAATAGACCAGTTTCATCACCACGCCAACTTACAAGCCCAAATTTGTGGAGGAGTGGGCACGTTCCGTAGTTTTGACAAACAAAAACACCTATAATGTAAGAAATTTTAGATTTATTTTTGGTTAAAGGGACAGCCCGTAATTTTGGACATAGGACCTCATTTCCTAGTCAGCCAGTGTTGGAGATTCGTGGAGACACTTTTTAAAAAATTCCATCCAGTCCTTGTATTTGCTGGTGCTAGACTAGTGCATGTCAATGGTCATAGTTATCCTGACACAAAACACCAGAAAAAAAACTATTATTACACCAGACTGTCAATGTAATGTCTGTGTTGTTAGAGTAATGTTTGAAGTAAAAAAAAAAAAACTTTTTGGAGCATTTGGAGGATTTACGACTGAGCAGCAGCAGCGAGTTTTACTTCCTGATAGAAAGCTTGGCAGAGGCGGACTGATATATGAGAAAATAGTCCCTCAACATGCGACTAGTCATGTGATGGAAGGTTAGTTTTATTTCAAACATTATTCTATCAACACAGACATTTACATCGACAGTCTGGTGTAATAATAGTTTTGCTTCGAGTGTTTTGTGGAGTGGGTAAGACTGTTTTTAGTGGCAGGATAACTATGACCATTGACATGCACTAGTCTAGCACCAGCGACCTCTGCAAATACAAGGACTCGATGGAATATTTTAAAAAAGTGTCTCCACACGTCTCCAACACTCTGGTTCACTAGGAAATTAGGTCCTATGTCCAAAATTCTGGACTGTCACTTTAAATGAGCAATTCTCATGGATTCATTCTATTGCAATATCCAATTCTCTCGGTACGATATTGTCATGATATGCATCTCACAGTACGATATTTATTGCAATATTTTGGAGAGGCTAATATAACTGTAGAAAGGACACTCTTTTGCTTTGAAAATACCTTGGCACGATTTTCGTGTGAATTATTTCCGCCATAATCCCAAAAATTCAAGTAAAAAACATATATCTTCATGTTGTCTGCACTGAAATGAATCATGGGATATGTAATTCCCATCGTTCATAAGCTTTTGCTACTATAAAACCGTACATTTAAGCAAAGGAACTTGTAATTCGATATATTGTGACAGCCCACGATATTATTGTCAGACTTTGATGATACAACATCACAATATTTCGGTTATTGTTACCTCCCTAATCATTCCTAATCCTATCCATACACAAAGAAGAAGTGGACTAAGTGGGTTAACAACGTCCATTTATAAATACAGGCTGTGGTATAATGTAGAAATATAACTTTTTCATCCAAACAAATAATAACAACATTTACCCAACACTGTCTATAATATAATCTATAATATTACATTTCTGCTTTAACAGTCCAGTTTTCGTGATATCAAACAGAAGCAAATAAAGCCAGCCACACTAGAGCCCTGTGCCTACACGCTCTACTCTCACATTATTGAACCTGCTTCCTGTGTTGACTAAGACGTGCCCATAAAAGGAGTCATGATTGCTCTCTTAAACCCTCTCTATCTGAAGGAAGTGAGGAAACAGGAACAAAATAGGAAAATATAAGTGCGTGGAGACAGAGGAAGGGGAGCAGGGGAGGGAGGGAGGGAGAGTTGGAGGAGGAAGGGGGGGGTCAGCCTTATCGAAATTGCCTTTGAATTTGTGCGCTCTTAAGGGAACACTGCAGCCCATCGGAGCGGAATGGTAAAGTAAATAAATAAATTGGTTATGTGGCCAAAGAAAGTCAATCTCAGACACACATAGTTGGAGAGTAAAGAGATAGAGAAGAGAGGGAGACGGCGAGGCTTTTTCATTGGACAGACCAGACGTTTTCAGTGTTGTGAAAGGGGGATTAGCTCTTACATGTCTGGCAACCTGCAGCTCTAATAAAGGCACATTAATGAACTGCACATGTGGACGGAACAGGGCCTCTAAAAATATTAGAATACTTATGACAAAGAGAAAAGGAAGTTTGTGAAAATTGTCAAGTTCTTTTCTTGACATTTTCCATTTTCCTAAGAAAAATAGGTGAATTTTTATTTCAATAACAACAATGAATTTACAAATCTGAGTGCCAAGGAACGGTGAAGTGAACATCTCAGGATCTTAAACTGCACGGGTCCATTTTTGGAGACCCGCACCCGCCCGGATCCATTAACATTCCACCCGTTACCTGCCTGTGCCCAATCACACACAAATTAAAAGCATTCTCACTGAAGCATTTTATTTTTTTCGATGAGCTTTTCAACGAAAATGTGACGCTAAATGAGGATTGAATAGGAGGTTTGAATAGGCAACAGTATGGAGTAAGAAAGCTTTCAGAAATATTCATGTGCATAGGATAGAAATCTGTGCATATTTGGGAAATCCGTGCACATTTAACTATAACTGAACATAAAAAAATATTCAAACTCTCGAATGAGTCTAGTCGTACATAAAATGTGTTGTGTATATTTTATCCATCAGAATACGAATTGAAAAGTTATGACGTTAAGAATTAACAATCACGAAATTAAATGAAGCGGTTATGCTTTTTTCAGTATGAACACGAATTCACAGACACAACTCGACTGTCAAAAATACGTCAACACTTCACAGGTTTTATTTATTTATTGAGCAGAAGAAATATTGATCAAGATGCCGGACTTTTGTGCCACATATGGACTGAACCAGCACTGAATCAGGACTAAACTAGGACTAAAACGGCCAAAACAGAACTAAAACAGGACTAAACCAGAACTGAACCAGGACTGACTGTCGGGACGGGCCCGGAGGTGTTTCCACGTAGACCGTTGGGTGACTGCAGGCAAAAGGACTGGTGCTCAAGGTTCTCGGTTTAGTCCTGACCCACCCCTATCCTGATCCATTTCAGCAATTATTTGCGCGTACCATCTTAACCTCAACACTTTACCTGAGGGGGCACCAAACTCTAATCTTCACCTGCAGAAAGGCTCCAAGGTTCTGTTCTTTTTTCAGAAACAGCCATCTTGAACTTTCCTCAGCTACAGAGATAATCTTTCCCAAGGCCTTCTTCATCCAGCTGGGTTCTAGGCCAGCTCTCTCTCTTCTCTTCAGCCTAGATAGGACTTAATCTCTGAGGTCCTGGTCCTTCTTCAGCTCTTGGGCTACTCGAGTGGCTTAGCTTTGAGTAAATCCTTAGATGCAGCACCTCCAAAGATTGAAAATAAATCAGTTTTAAAGTTGACATAAGCACAACGGAGAATGAACTGTAAGTCTTGAGCAGTTTCTAGGTCCATAAACCATTAGCAGACTCATTCGGAAGGTTTCTACTATTCAGTGTGTTCACAACGCATCTGGCAATAACACTGCCTCATGATTGAAGTTGCTACAAATTAAAGCTATAATTTTCGAAATAGACAGTATTTCAAGTTAGAAAATGTGAAACGCTGAACCCAAGGTGACCCAAAGCCAATTAAGCAAAAATAATGTCCCTTTAAGTCTAATAAATGTGACTTAGCCTCAAAAAGAACATATTTCTGTCTTGTTCAGAAGGAGGGAAAGCTGAACGTCCAAAAAAAAAAAAACAGGAACTTTGGCTGTGTAAATTATATTAATTATATAACTGTACGGTATTAATCCTTCTGCCCTCTTTTCTCCAGGACGGCGTTTGCCAAAGAGTCGGAGGTGCTGACCGGTAACCTTGGCGACAAACTGATCCCTCAGAACGAGATCCTGCGCGACGTGAGTGACCTGAAGGCTCTGGCCAACCTCCAGGAGAGCATGGAGTGGCTGTCAACGAGACTCAGAGCCTTTTTCAACAGTCTGCCCCATATGACCGGTCAGTCCCACTCACGCTCTGCTGCTCTGTTTCATTTAAAGAGCATTTTATTTATTTATTTAATTTATATATTCGAGCATCATTTTCCATACATTATAGTGAACGTGTTGTGATTTCAGTGCATAGCGGAGGTGCTCAGAAGGAGTAGGTAGTAAAACTTATATGACAGGTTTTGATGTTGTCTGTAATTATACTTAGTTTGGATTCATAGTTTATGCCTTGTAAATCAGTTAAGTGTCAGTTTGTGAAGAAAAGTTGAGAAGAAAAGTACATAAATACAGGAAATAGCAGTGTGGTAAATTCAAAATGTTTCTGGATATTGTGAGTAAAGCATCATATTACCGTATGTTTTGGACTGTAAGTCGCACCATAGTATAAGTCACACCAGCCAAAAAATGTCTAATGAAGAAAAAAACATAGTTGCACTGTTTGGTGGAAATGTATTTATCGACATTTCATCTTGAAAGGCAAGTTATAGTAAAAACAATAGAACAAAGAACAACAGACTGTTAACGTCACATATGAACAGTTCTTCTGATAACTATAGAATAAACAACAGAACAGAACAAGATTACCAAACTCTCACTAAATTCATTGAATTCTTCATCCTTTGTGTCACTTCTGAGCAACTCCACGATCTCCAGAGGTAAATGGAGCGCTGCTTCCTCTTCTGCGTAGCTGTCGTCAGACTCAGCATCATTATTAAATTATTCCAGGCTTTCTGAATCCTGACAAGATGGTTTCGGTTGTCAGTGAAGTCTAGGTTTTGTTGATACATCCAATAACTTCCAGGAAAGTTACATGGCACATTGTCCCGGTTACCGTGAACCTGGGTTCTTTATCCCTGCTTTCCGCCAATCCCTCACAAGTTTCTCACTCACTCCAAACTTTATTTCTGTTGCGCGATTACAATTTTTGGCTGCATATTTCACTACTTTCTGCAGGACAGAAGCTTTTTCTGCAGGAGACATGTGCAGTAGAGCAATGTGACAGTGGACCAGGAGTAATAGAAGCAGCAGATACTGACACACAAACCTAGAGCGCCCTTTTGAGGCTGTCAGTGTGAAAATTTTAATATATAAGTCGCACAGGCCGACCCAAACCATGAAAAAAAAGTGCGACTTATAGTCCAAAAACTATAGTATATTTTTAGAGTTTATTTGCTGTTCTGTATTTTAAAGATGCACACGATGTAACTTTTTGGTGAAGGTTCTACCACCTACTTACCTTCCTAAAGATGTTATTTCTTTACCTGGAATGTTCCATAGTATGGCATTATTTCATGTATTCAGTTTTACTAAAAAATATCTTGAAATATATTACCTTGAATATCTATTTTTTTTACTGTGAGCGGTCTTGCCTCTCCCCTGATCTGACCTGTTAGACGGCTTACTCTTTCACCTGCTGTATCCAAGGAGATAGTTTAATAGTTTAATGCCATAGTGTGGAATATTCAAAGACGCAAACTGTACAGTATGCGAAGCTACAGAAAAAAAACGAGTACATATTATACCTTTATACAACTTTACTTACAATTTACACGCGTCATAAAATTCAGCTCAGGCTAGAGATACATTTCAATTTTCAACGGTAACGTTTTCAAAATTATTATTCACCATTTCAACATTTACTCTTTGGATGCTCTGCTGAAGATTGGTATCCTGAGTGTTTGCTAATAAAAGCAGCAGTGTATGAAAAGATGTTATGAGTTAAACTTAGTGAACCTTAAAATAGAAAGATACAAAAAGCAAAGGCCGTGACGTTATACATTTTCCACCGACTGAAAGATTACACTAAAGGGGAGCATCGCCTCATCAGTCTGTTTTTTCTACAAACATTAAACCCCTCTTACGCCTCCATGTGCGAGACAATTTAGAGGAAAAAAATATATAATTACATTTTTATTATCAGTTCTCTGTGTGACGGGTCGCGTTAAAGGGCCCGTATTACGCTATTTTCTGATTTATGATGTAATGTTGTTTCCTCGTCACAAACACATCTGGAGTTGTGTTTTGTTTCATTTACACACGTTTGCCTTCCACTACATGATGTCACAAGGTGGAATAAAGTGTTTTCTTTGTGCTTTGGAGGTGTACACAGATTAATAATAAAGGATAACTCAAAACTCAAACATGAATGAAACAAAACACAACTTCATTTATGTTTTTGGTGAAGTAACATGACTTAAAGCTCACAAGAGTCAATTTTGTGTAATATAGGACCTGTAATTGCTGTAAGTATTAAAAAATGCGGACGAATTTTGACCGTTTCTATCACAATTCAGTTCAGCATTTAAAACAACACTGCAAATTTCTCCAGTCTGGGCAAGATTTTAAAGCCTATATCAGGTTATTCATCTTGTTTTCAGATTTATTTTCTACTTATTAGTTCTGAGACTGCTTAATTCTCGTCTAGAGGTAGTCAGTGTTGGGAAGGTTATTTTTAAAATGTATTCCCATACAGATTACAGATTACATACCCCAAAATGTAGTTTGTAACATAATCCATTAAATTTCTTTAGGTGAGTAACCTAATCTGAATACTTTGGATTACTTGATATTGTCATGTTTTTTAAAACGACATGAATGTAGCGACCACATCCTGAAAATTCATGTTTGTTTTCTTCAAATTGGCTGAGCCCAAGTCTCCATGAACAGGCACATGTTTGCTGTAGAGAAGCAAAGACGAGGATATCTGAACATAAGATGTTTTGTCTGTTAAAAGAAAATAAAAAGCCCAGTCTTTACTTAACCATCTTAAAAATATTATTGATAGAGAAATGCTTTTTATATGAGATCACTGCTGCCTTAAATTATGTCCACTGTACTGTTAGGTGTCATATTGTTTATTTTTAAAAAAAATTAATCACTGTCAGTACAAACATAAAGGCGCCAGCCCAGTAAAAATCAGTAATATTTGATGTTTTTTACTCAAAATTATGCAGAATCAGATTATTAACAACAACAATTATTAACGACCTCGTCCATTGAGTGACTGACACCACCAGTGTCAACAAGACGTTTACGTAACTCTTATTGAGTGGGTTTCCGTTAATGAGTGGAATTACCGAAATAACATTTTTTTAAAAAGTGATATAGCCCAAAATGTGAAAACAGGAAAATACCGCCATGTAATCCATTTATTTCAACAAAGTAACTGTAATCCAATTACCACTCATGGAAACAGTAACTGTAACTGAATACAGTTACTCATAATTTGTACTCTGATTAAGTAACTCTGGTACATGTAATCTGTTACTCCCCAACACTGGAGGTAGTTTATTTTAAGATAATTTGTCAAGTAAATTTAAAAAGTTGCACCTTTAACGCAGTAACACACTTTCTGACGCTGGTTACAATTAAAACATATGACATGAACCCATATGACCCAGACAATAACGTCAGCTGAGTAGAAGAGGTGGCGTGCGTGGCGTGGTTAAAGTGCACTGAGCAGCTCTGATTAGGCTCACACCTCCAGCAGCAGTGCGGATAATTGGAGCTAGTGTAAAGTGCTGTGTGGTGAGAGAAGGTAATATGTGATGATGCTCTCAAACAGGAACTTAATGAGCCACAGGAGGGGACTGTTGCGAGGTAAACATAGCGACTAAAGCTAGCAGTGCTATACTAGGATATATTGGTTTACATGAGGTTCTGACACATTGGGTGCAAGTTTTCCAAATGTATATCTAACTCTCCATTTTTTTTTCCACAACTCAAATCGTTAAAGTGTTCTGAAGTTACAATAAATAAGTAAGTAAGTCTTTATTTATATAGCGCATTTCACAGAAATTTTTTTTTGTCACAAAGAGGCTTTACAGAGCATTATTCAGCATTATTTATTCACTCTACACCTGGTGATGATAAGCTACTGTTGTAGCCACAGTTGCCCTGGGGCAGACTGACAGAAGCGCTGCAGCCATGCCAATCGGCGCCAACGGTCCCTCCGACCACCACCATCACTCACGCACACACCACTTTCATACTGGGCCATGTGGAAGAAGTGTCTAGCCACTAGCACCAGTGCTAATTTAAATGTTAATGTAGGTCTAGCTGTCAGTAAAGTTGTACAAAGAAGGTGATTACAGCTAAAACATTACACACATCAGTCAAAATAGTATCAAAATTCTGATCTTGGTTCTAAGAAAACTTACTTTTTGGAAGAGGAGACTAGAGTCAATAGAGTCAATAGAATCAATAGAATCAATAACCAATTATTTATCCTCGCAAAACTATGGTTGTCGCGCCGCGGTCCTCACTTTTCACCTTTCGCTGGCATTGAATCTCCCCCACAACCCCTTTGTTTTACTTTAGCAGATCTGCACTTACTGCAGACCACGTGGACAAGTTGTTTTTTCTGGCCAAAAATATGAAGATGGAGTAAAACTTCATGCTGGAACTGTTAGTGCTGCGCTTTACTTTTTGAAAAGTTTTGTTTACTGAATTTATTTTTTATAATATTTCAAATATTATTGTTGCTTATTTGAGAAATAAGCAACAAATGCTGAGAGCTATTTTTAAAAATTATTAGTAATACCAAGCAGCACTTTGCATTAATTTTATTTTCCCATTTGTATAATGTTAAAACAAATTGTTGGTTTAATAAACACGCAAACAACAAGCAAATGTTTTTTTTTTTTTGTTCCCATAGTGTACTGAAAATAAACCGAACCGTAAACTCAAACCCGATGTACGTACTGAACTGAGATTTTTGTGTGTGATTTTGTGTGTTACATCCATACTGATTAAGAAAATAAAATTGGAGAACAAAGTAAGTACAGATCAGTGGGCGTATGTCGATGAAATCGGGTTGATCGGCAATATGAAAAACTTGAAAATAAGAGATTAGAGATCTATATCTACTCAATTTACTGTATAAAGCACATTTTACAAACGAAGCAGTTTCCAAGGTGCTGCACAGAGATCATAAAAAAGAAAACAACACAAGGTATAACTACTAAATATTTAATCATACTAGGTTTAAAACAATAAAACCAGTATAAG